CCTACATTAACTAGATTGATTGCAATTCGCTCTTCAAGGAGCAGATGTTCAGATCTCATAAAAAAGGCCAGAGACTGGGCTTGGAATCACTTTGTACCTGCTCAGAGCTTGGCGTGAAATATTTGTGGTTTGGTAGGATCACAAACATGCAAGTTCAATTAAAGCAGGCAGATTGTCTCTGCAAAAGAAAAACTGGGTCCGATATTTTAAGGTAGCACTATACTAACTCATGTCAGTGTTTAGAGCCTAGACAACTAGCATGTTTACATTATTATTATACAGTTGTAAATTTGAACGTGATTGTTTATAACTCTCTAAAGCTTTAAAGACTTGGTCATGGAACAAGATCATGCTGTGCTAAGGGCTTGCACAGCATGTCTTTACTCCAAGGAACGTTTAGTCTAGGCATAATACAAGATAAATTGATGGATATAGACAGCATACTGACATAATGCTACAGTGTTGGCCAGCAGAACAGACAGCAAAATTTCTGATCACGTCCAGATAGATTGTTGTTTACATCCTAACATAATATTTTTACTTAAAAATGTCATGTGCATATGTTATTGGAATACTTGAGTTGTCCTGGCAGTGCAAGCTAAACACAGAGGATGTAGTCGCCACCTTCCTCAGTTGTGTGCTCTATTGCCTTGTTAGATAAAGCTGCCCCTTGGCAGCCTTTCCCCCTCATCTTTGTTTTATTAATGAGTAGTTTTGCCTTGCATTTTGAAAAGGCCATTCCTCTTCTGGCAGACCATGCTTTCTGAGGAGGCTAATGCTGGTTGTATAGGAGATAAGTGATGACTTTCAACATGGGAAAGATGTGTAASTAATTTATGAATTAAAGCCTTTTATGGGCTGTTTTATAGGCTATATTTTATAGGCTATAGAACAAGCACACCCAACTACAATAGAGTGAGGCTATCCTGTTACAAATTTTTAAAAGAAATTATTTTATTTCTGCTTGTTTTTATGGAAGTAGTCCAGCTCAGGGTGTGTTTCACCACAAAGTGGTGGCAAAAAGCAAATCTGTTGGGTTGTTTCTGATCTTCTGTTTAACCCCAGGGTTAGGGTTTAGAGCTTCTACTTCATTGAGACAGTGGACATGCTGATGAAGTGGAAAAAATTTTGATGTGCTTCAGTGTAGCAGGTCTGTAGTTGTGAGATACATTACATATTCAAGTTATTCCTCTGGTTCTGAGGACAAGACAAAAAAACTATGTGGAATATAGTTCCTTTTGATGTTACTGGAGAAACACCTACTGATTTCAGTGGGCCCAAGTAATTGCTCTGCTTTAGAACTGTATTTATGTTAATAAAATCTGATTATTTTCAAAGAAAAAATATAAACCTTGCCTATTAGTATAGGATTTTGTATTTTACTTGTAAAATAATCAGAATCATTAAAACAAAGTGAAAGCAAAGGCAAAACTGGAGGCAGCATAGCCAAAATCTAAGTCAGCTGGGGATGCTTTTGCCCTTAGTTTTAAGGACAATCTCAGAAAATAAAAGCTTGGAAAATGYTGCTATTTAAATTAGACAGCTTTTTTTTGGGGAGCTTTCCGAAGACACATAACTGCTACCAAAATCCATTCATTGAATACCTTATAGAAAGTAGGCAGTTTGAAGTCATCTTGTAAACAACTTCATGTAGGTAGCCCAAGAATTGTAGTACAAAAGAGTTTCATTTAATGTGAGTTTTTATCCTTCCTTATATTGCAACAAAATAAGGTAGAATAAGAAAATAGAAATTTGATCTTATTGGAAACTTGCTAATGCTTGATTTTTATGCCCTTTAACAAAATTACTATCTTAAGTGTTGGCTGGCAGAACAAATGGAATGAATATATGTATTATCAATATTTTTAAGGATTTTCCTCCTATCCCTCTTTAAGTGTAAAATTATATTTGACTTATATTTTGTGCAGTTCCTCTTTTTACTATGAAAAAGAAATTTAGACACCAGTCTGAGAAATAAGATTTTGAGTTTATTTTGATGCCATATGACCACAAGWGTGTCACTTGTGTACTCAGCAGATTTTGGGAGGCATTTTCCTTGTCTTCTAGTGCACCAGTCAGACTTACGAAGTCAAATCACTGAGCTCTGAACACTGCAGTGCTGCTCATCTGCRATGTCTATGTTAAAGCTAGGGAAATTATAGGCTAAGATCTTTATTGCTAGTTCCCATTTCTCAGGAGTGGACTAGGCTGAATCAGAGGATCTGTCAAAAGATTAATATTTTGATCCTGACTTTATTAGCCTTACCAATATGCTATTATATGCGTATTTTAGTGGGAAGCAGGCCTTTTCTCAGTTCTCTGTTTATTCTTTGGCTTAATGAATTCCTCTGCCAACTACATTCAACACTGATACTTCTTCACTTTATGCTTGTGCTGTTGAATTCTTTCCCTTGTTCTCTTCCACCTCAAAACTCCAAACTTCTCTCTTTTCCGCACCAGTTGTTTTCACATTTCCTTTCCCCTGGGATATGCTAAATTATTCTCCTCTTTCAAAGTTGAGACACACAACGTCTGTCTGCTACAGAGCTTCTTTTCTTTGCTGCCAAGGTATTTCATTGACTTGGTGGTTCTTATCCTATATTGTGTAATTTTTGTTGTGGCCACTGTGGCTCCTATCATTGCCTGAGCTAATTTGCCACATTCCCTGTTAAAAGTATCTGAAGGCATCTGCAAAGTTTGGAAGAGTAGCTAAAAGTAATTTCAGTAGTTGATAATAATAAACTTCCTGCAGGACAGTGTTGGTTTGAGGCTCTCTGAGATGTGAGAAAGATAGAACAAGTAAGGGTGAAGATGACCCAGTATTCATGGAAACCTCTCTGCTTGAATTGCGTGATTTACCAGCRCACACTCCACGAGGTTCAGTGCATAGTAGAAGATTCTTTTATAAGATCATTCTTTTAATAAGAGCTACTCTTTCCAGAAAATACACTTTCAAATGGGAGTATATCAAAATGTAACCGCTAGAGTGACTTGTGTTCTTGTGGATATTGAGTTCTGGGCATTTCAACCCCTTTGCAAAAGCAAAGTGTTGTCTGCTTGTGATGGGGATGAGACCTGATCTTTCTATCGTGGCCAATGTGAAGCCTTCACAAATTAAGCAGTTGCCTAAGACGTAGCAAAACAGTCCTGAGGGTGTCTTGAGGTGTCCTCAGGGTTTCTTCCTATCTGGCTGAAACAGACTCGCTTTCTGCTCTCTCTGTTCCACTGCTCAGGAAAGTCTGCAGTGCCAAGAGAGCACAAGCTCTCCCTAGTTTTCACTGAAAAAAAATACATGAGGTGTTCAGCATAAGATAGAAGAAGCAGATTCCCTGTTGCTGTCAGTGAAGAAATATGAAGGAGGCGACATAGTTTCCCCACCAGCTCCCCCTTTCATTCCCTTCCCTATCCCATTAGCCCACATTCTCTTCCTGCCCAGCCCTCCGGTGATGCCTAATCTCATTTACAGGGGCTGCTGCCAGATCTGCTGGCTGCTGCAGTTTCTTGGCCGCTGTTTTCGGTGAGGGAGCCGAGAGCGCCGAGAAAGRAGGAGAAGGAAGGAGAAGGAGGAGGAAGGCTGCGGGTGTGTGGCGGAGCGGCGGCAGCGGCAGCACCTTTGACGTGCCCGTCCCCCACGTGACGGCCGCTCCATTGCGGGGAGGGAGCTGAGCTGCCGCCGCTCCGGCAGAGCACGGCAGAGCCGCAGCCTCGGCGGCGGCAGAGGCAGCGGCAGCAGCGCCTCCGCCCGCAGTGCGTGTGTGTGCGTGTGTGTGATGAGCGATCGCCGCGTCCCTCCGCCCGCTGCCGGCTGACACCACCGCGCGGGGCGCGCCAGGAGCAGCAGGAGGAGGCGAGGAGCCGCGGCCACCGCGCAGTGACCTTGGCCCAGGAGGTAACCGAGCGGGCGGGCTCCGCGCCCCTCAGCGCCCCCGCCCCGCGCCTCCCGCGGCGGAGCCGAGGCCCCGCTCCCGCCGGGCGCCCTGGGCGCCGCCGCCTCTGCCGCTGTCCGCGGTGCTGGAACTGCGGGCTCCGAGCCGGGTTCCTCTCCGGGCTGCCCGCGGGCGAGCCCGTCCGCCCGGCCTTTGGCCGCCCGGAGCCCCGCACCCCCGGCGGGCGGTGCGGGGGCAGCGCGGGCCGGCGGGCGGCCGGGGGTAGCGGAGCCCGAACGCGAGAGGTCTGAGGGGCTGGGGAGAGCGCGGGAGGTTGGCGCTTGGAGTAGGGCTCGGCGGCTCTCCGGGCTCTCCGCATCCGCCCGTGTAGTCTCTAGATGGAGCACATTCTTACACCTGCGTGCAAAGCCGGAGCTACGGCATGATCCGAGCTCTTGTTTAGTGCAGCTCCCGTGTGACCCGGGGGAGGGCGGGGAGGAGACGGGGCTGGCGGGGAGCCGGTGTTTGGCGGTAAAGTGAGATGAAAGTAGGTGAAAGCAAGCGGAACGGTGTTCTGGCTTGTTTCTTCATTTTCCCTCGTCACCTGCTCCCCTGCCCCGGCGTATGTTTACGAGCACACATGTGCCGGTGAATTACGGGGAAGTTCAAAGCATTTGGTTTGCTTTTTGTGCGTTCGAATGTTGTGAAAGTTGCTACGACCACAGCCGTGAGCAGAGGGCACTGCTGAATGCACGTCGTGGGCCGAGTCAGTCCTCCCAAAACTGGCCTGGATGGTGCAGAGCTCCCTTGGTGAAGCCCGTGCAGGGGAGGAAGAAGCGCTTTGTGAGGAGGCRTCTGTGTGATGTGGTGGTTAGCGGTGTGTCAGGGAGCTGTTCCCAATGTCAATTCATTAACGTCTAAATTAGATCAACACATGACATCCATTATTTACCAGCAAAAGAGAGTAATGACAGTAAATGGTGAATTAGCAGCTTTGTGTAAATATCTGTTGGGGTAAGAGCATACACTGATGTTGCTARCGTGTTGGTAGAAAGTCAGGTCCATTAATCATCAGGGAAGCAAGGAGACCTGAGGAGATGCCCCATTGAAATCACTTTTGCCTTTTACAGTGCAACATCCARAAGCGGATCAGATTTGTGGGACATGGCACAAGGAAATAATTATGGGCAAAGCAGCAATGGGGTGGCTGATGAATCCCCAAACATGCTGGTGTACAGAAAGGTAAGCCTTTGRATTTTTCAGAAGCTGAGGAAGGTGAAATCCTGGACTCTCTTGCCTAACAAGTGAAGATATTATTTTTGCTGTTTCTCTCCAATTTCTTGAATGGAGAAATGATTGTATCTGCTGTTTGAAATGGTAAAATCTGCACATGTCAACTTTGCATCTTGTTCAGAAACAGCTGCTTTTCAATTTGAGATACTTGATGTATTTCAGTCACTTTCTGCATTGATATGTATGATATGTGATGGTGGTGACGTGCCAGAGACTGGAATGTGTTTTGAGGTCAAGTGTTCTCTTATAAAGTCTATTTGTTAAATGAATTCATATATATAAAAGCTAAATTTTTAMTGTACAATACAGTACTTTGTCTCATGCAGGGAAGGTGGAACCATTAAATTATTTCATATGAGGGGGGAAAACAGGTTAAAGATCTCATTTATCTGTAATTGCCACAACTTAAAAAAGAGCCCAAACRCATACAGTCCAGAATTCTTTTCTGGGGAGACTTTGTATGTAGTTATTCTAACAACATTAATACACAAAATTTCCAGGTATTGAACTCTATCAGTGAGGCTTATTTAGCAATTATGTTTTAATTTAAGTGAGAGTAAATGCTTGGAAATTTTGAGATGCCTTTATATATTCTTTAATGTCTAAAACATTAATTTATTATTTTAAATAAGACGTTAATTGCATTTATGAACAAAATAATAAAAATTTTAATAATAATGGAGAAAAAATAATTTTGCTGTTGCAAACTGAAATAAGTAATTATGCAACTACTTGTTTTCTCTTAAAACACAGTGCTTCCTAAATTGTTTGTGGTTGTTTTTATCGGGTGGAAAAAAAATCAATACTTTTACTTTGTTAGAGGCATTGACTTTTCCCCTTACAAGTTAACTGTAATAGAAAGCATCTGATATATACTCAGTTTAGTCTTTGAGGTGAACTGAAGTATCATCAGTAACTGTGGTAAGTGTTCTTTTCTCATAAATTAAAAAATAGTCTCGAATTGAAGTCTGATGCATGCTTTTTTCTCATCCTATTCTCAGATACGTTGCTGATTTCATTTAGCTTGTTATAGCTGCTATTTTAACATAAATGTATGAATTTATGAACCTAACTGTGGTTATTCTACTAAGAATGCATATCTAGAAAAATACAGGATTACCTTAACATTAACATCACAACTATACAAGGCCATTGTATACATGAAAATATGCTGCATATATGAAAAGCAATATACCAAAACTTATATATGTTTTTGATCTTTCTAAACAGAATCTTTCCACATTTTCTATTTACTTCAATGCTGGCAAAAATGTCTTTTCTCAGTTTTTTTTTAATAAACAGAGGGGCAACATGTAGAAACTGCTTCCCTCTTCCTGTGGTGAATTTGGTAAAAATTGTGGTAAAATTTGTGACTTATGGTATTTAGTATGACTTCATGCCAAAATTTATCCTTGCCTCTGGGCAGCTTCGTCTCTGAGCAGCATCCAGATTGATTGGAATGGCTGAGGCAAGTGACAAGAGTCCTGATGATGCAGGGGAGATGTGAAAATGAGCAGTGAAGATAGGACACACCACCTTAGGTGTATGCTTAGCAAATCAAGACATCAAACACCTTTTTTTGTTTTCTGCAATGCATCAGTAAAGGGTTGATATGAATTTATGTCTTTCAGTGCAGGAGTGGTCCTTCCCTAGTCGTCACTAAAGTGYAAGTGGTGTTCTGAGTATTAAACTTTGAAAAATACTGACCTTCTACAGCATTACCTGCTCTATGTGTTTTTGTATATCTACTTATTTTTGCAGCACAGTGAATTAAAGATAATTTCAGATTATGCACACTGTATTAGAGTACAGAGAGAAAACTAAGTAACCCATCCTTTGGGACTACTCAAGGAACAGGCAACAAAATAATAGACAACCCAAGAAGTCACCTGCCTTTTCCTGAAACAGGGTACTACTGTAAGCAAACATGTTCTAAATTTTGGGTCTAGAACATAAGAGGAGTGTGGAAGTAGTAGAACTCAGTGGAAGTAGTTTCACTTTAAAATATATCATCACTGAGTATAATTCTTTAATAGAAATAACTCAATCACAGGATTCYTTGTAATACATTTGAAAACACAATACTTCTCTGTCATTGTGTTGGGAATGAAAGCATTGTGTGAACAAAGAATTATATCTGACAGCTTCATGAAGAACTCTCTTTTTTGACCACTGGAAAACTATTAGTAGTTATTAGAAAAAATTCAAAACATGCTATTGGCTGATTTTAGTCCGGAATGGATTTGAAGTCTTATATTTTGAATGATGTTGCTGAAATGCACAAAGGTGGAAATATTTTCTTCCAGTAGTTTGTGCAACATCATCAGATGGGATAGCACACATTTTGTGATTTATGTACCTGCAAGGAGTAGATGGGACATCTCTTCCTACTTACATTAATGAAGTGCTAAAATTTGGCTATGCTGATGTTAAYGAAGAGCTAAAATTTGGCTGTGCTGAGTGAAGACTGTTACTTTGGCTACAAACCACAATTTTATAAATTAGTAATTCTGCTAGTCTGTCTAACTTCCAGACACAATCTCAACTAAGTATATTCTGAACTACACAGAGTTATAGCTCTGTGTTGCCTAGATCCTGATTCTATCAGGAGCATTTTATGAAAAATTTTATACAGAATGAAGTTCTCATGTTTTCAGATTCTGCTTTTAAGAGGGAATTGTTATTAGAATAATTTTTGCATTTTAAGTAAATTTCAAAAAATTGACAAAAAGGGGCCAGTTTTCTGTTTTTTTTTATAATGTATTTGTTTTTGATTAGTTGCTTTTTTTAAAGGATTGAACAACTGATAATCAAATTGTAATCTCAAGTAATACAGAGTGTAGATAGCCTCTTATTCTCATAGTAGCTTTTATTCCTAACCAAAGAAGGGTTTCATTACATTTTGATTTCAAAAAAGAATTTTATTTAAAAAATCAGYGTAGGATAATTAAATATTCAATACATACATAACTTAGAACTACGTATTTGAGTCTGGAAAAGACAGCAGCACTGATAAATAGTTCTCTGTATAATTTTTACAATGCCTTTTAAGATGCTTGTGTTAGTGTTTTTTATGCCTTGGGGAATAATTTTTATCTTAATAGAATGTCAGCTGCATTATTCTTTTTGTCTGTCAGCCTAATTATAAAGTAATGACATGTGACACATCATTGGCACTGACATACCTTAGAAAAAGTCCTGAATTTTTCTGCTGGTAGCCTGAGGCAAATATGAAAAATGTAAAACCCCTCTTTTCACTTCTTCTCCAACAGAGTCCTTTCCAGTCAGCAATTAAAAGAGATAAGAGACCATAATCCATTGTATTTTAACATCACAAATTGCTTATGCAGAAATCTCGTATTTTGGCAACACTAACTTGCTGCTGCAAGCTACATCTTAAGGAAGAAACTTGAGATGTAGTAGAARGCCCATACTATAAAGCTTTTCCTAGTTTCAGAGCCTCTTTTTTTCTTTTTAAATCTCTGCAAAAATAATTAAAGAATAAGAGTTTTCTGTGAAGAACTTCTATTTTATATCTATTGCTGATCTTTCTAAACCTTTGTTTATCTTTCTGGTCTGTGCTTTGCTTACTTTTTTAGTCAAACACATGCTGCAAGTATTAGGAGTTCTGATTAGCAAATTTAATGGTTATTGCCTTGCTATCTGAACTAGCTTCATTTGAGAACTGATCGCTTTATTTTGTAGAAATAAGATTAGCCTTATCTGAAAGGTGATATTCTCGTAACTGAGATTTTGGCTGTCTACCTGCCTCACTGCCGCARTTATTTAAATAGCTTTTGCCAAGTCTGATTAGAATTACTAACAGTGGGGCTTTCAATGTTCTAATAAAGGTAATGTTCTAATAAAGGTGTTCTGTTTCTGTGACAATTGTGAAAGGCCGTATATGCCAGTACTCATGTGTAGCAAGGGCTGAATTTGTGATCTTAAATTCCTTAGTTCGTTGTGATCTGATATTCTTCATGGAAACCACCCCTCCAAAGTGCAATACTTTTCAATGTTGTTGTAAACRAGCAGAAGCCATGCAGGGACAACATCTGAGGAAATGGTCACAGCATCTTGTGATAACCATTCTCCTCTCCTCTGCTTGCACAGAGACGACTTCCAGTGTAGTTTGCAGGTAATACCGTGTTCTCATGTGGCCTGTGTCAACTCCCTAAAAAAGATGGCTGGAAGAAAATTATATCATGGATAACTATTCCTTAGAGCCTGCGAGGCTAAGGAAGGACATCTTAGGTGGATTTTTCTAAGTGCTGTCACTCACTTTGAGAAGGGAAGAATCACTCTGATATTATACRTTTCTGAATATGCCATGACAATCTGTGAAGGCATCTTGTTTGTTAYTACATTGGAAAAGTCAGGATGCCCTAAGGTACTAGAGATAAGTAGTGTGGGGCTTTATTTGGTGTGTTTTTTTTTCTAGTGTGTTTATAAATTAAAAAAAAAATTGCACTGTTCCTCTAGATTATGCTGTTTCTTCTTTCAAAAAGAAGATTCACTGGTGTGAATCTGGTTGATGTCTTTATTTTATTCCAATGCTTATCATAGAATTTATGGGGAAAGGTCCACACTTGTGAATCTCAGGAATTTCTACTGCAGGAAGAAAAGCTTTTACCTTCCTATCTAGTAAGTTATGAGGATGTTGTAGTCCTGGAGTAGCTGGTTGATAGTGAAGTAAGCTTTTGCGTAGGGAAATTTAGAAAGCAGGAACTTAATAGAGAAGGACAGAACTGTGGAGTGCCTTTTGTTTCCCTGTATGCTCTCACCCTCATGTTCTTTATCTGTCCTTGTGCAGATTCTCTTTGCTGCATCCTCTCCTGGAAAGGTTATAGTTAGTACTAGGTGTGGCAAGTATGTTTTGTCATAATTTGTGATAAAAATAGTATAAAGTATTTGATAGTCTTCACAGCTATACAGAATGGCTGAAAATT